GCGCGATATACTACGAATATTTGGCTTTTAAGCTAGATTCTATCTGCTTGTCCCATGCCCATCCACCGATGGCTTCGTCAACCATTGTCCGATATCTCCGAACTGCCTCTGGATCGATTTATAAATCTTGTGGTATACTCCACCTAGTTCGCTGCATTTCCCACCCACCTCTATCTTCTTCGCCAATTCTCTCTTTTTTTCCTGTCTCAGAACTGTCCCTGAGCCAATTTACATCTTTAGCGGCAAACCCCGCTTCTAGATGCATGCTCCGCACACCATTAGAGTTTATTTCTTTCCCTTCGCCTACCTTTTCCCAATCTCTGGAACGTTCTGGAACCGAGTCATAAGTCTGATAACAAAATCCGCCCGCTTTGGTGTATGCCCCGCCCACCAGTAGCAATTGGTTTCTTTTCCTTCACCGATCTCTACCTTCTTTTCCCGGTCTCCACGATTTCTTGGAACCGAATTATAAACCTGAAAACACACTTCGCCCACTTTGGTGCATGCTACGCCCCAATATCAGTTGACTTCTCTTCCTTTGTCAGACTCGACCCATTCTTGGAACCGAGTTATGTTTGGTATCGAAGTCTGCCCACTTTTCTGTGCGCCACGCCCACCATTAACATTTTAACCTCCTCTGACCTCTATCCTTTTTCCCTCTCCCTAAGACTTCTCGGAACCGAATTATGAGGACTTGTAGGAAACGCTGTCCACTTCAGGACACGCTCCGCCCATTGTGGGCGGGCCTCCGCTCACGTCATGTATGCTGGGAACACCTTAGACATTGCTTCCCTACACCGATTTTTTCTGCTCTGTAGGCTTTCTCCCAACCGAGTTATGTCTTTTTCAAAAGGCACTGCTTTTTTGTAGCTTACCAATGCACACCTTTACCCACTTTTTGGCCCAGTTTCGAGGTTGTTTTGTCACTGAAATTGAAATCTTGGTCGTCAGTACAGTTCATTTCGATGCACGCCACGCCCACTGTGGGCGGGGCTCCGCTTAGCTGATGTGTGTTTTGTACTTCGTCGAGACCTGCCCACCATCCCCACTTGATCCGATCTCTCCGCACGGATCCCCAGGAGCTAGTGATTACCGTGACAGACATAATGACAGACGAAG